TCCTCTCAATGCTTTCATAAGCCTGCTTGTATGAATACATTGAGATTGCAAAACCCTTGTTTTGTGCTACAAAACCAGGTACCAAAAGCTACAATAGTTATAAAAATTGCCCAATGCAATTTTCTGCTTATTCAAAACTCCCCTTGGCCCTGAGGGGATCAGTGCAGTAACAGGCTAGCCTGTTCCCTCCCAGAAGACTCAGCAAGCCTTTATGGTACTTCTGTTGCATCAATATTGAAAATAGTCCATGTTTTATTGTAAATTACTGTTATTTGCAACTTCCAGTTTTGCAGTTCCCACTGCACAGAGATCAAGGACCCAATTTTTCCTTTGTATCCATCAGTGTAAATCAAGATTAACTCCACTAAAGTCAGTCTAAACCACAAGTGTAAAACTAGGAGGAATGAAAGGAAAATCAGTCCACAAACTACTTGGGTTCTTTTATTTTTAAATAGCAAAATTAATGCTGCTATTCTGCAGACATAGGGTGACCTGCAAAGTACTACCTCATGCATTACTAATGTATCTCCATTTAAATGCAGATTTTTGCTCCTAACACAGAACTTCAGGGAAATCCTCTCCAGATAAACTGTAACAGGATACCAAATGGTGATTCAATATTTCACTTTAGCTTGTGTTTCAGCTTACTGATCTTTATTTTCTAACATTTTGATGAAGCATTTGCCTAGGGGGAAGAGGATTACATTCACTGTAATATGGCTTTTAATTAATAATTAATTATTTTAATATTCCAAACATCTATGCCAGAATTGGCAATCTGTTTGTATTCCTTTCCTTATTTCTATTTTCGGTGGTGGAAACCAGCAAGGTGTGACTTTACATATTTCAGGAAGTAATTGAAACACCTAGCTGAGAAAAGGAAGAATGTATAAGTATCACAGTATTATGCTTATCATGATATTATTTTGTTCTAAGTCATTTGTGGTAACAATGATAAGAACCTGACATGATTTGCTTTTGCTACATATGGCAAGTTTACGATGAAGTTTTTCTCTGAATATGCCTCCCTCAAGCCCTGTGTGTGTGTGTATATATATATATCTCCTAAATAGTACAATGAAGTTATAGAAATAATGTTTATTAATCTACTAGATCATTAATAGAATTATTAAGAGAGATTACCTGATAGTGAGAGTTAGTGTTTCTGCAGCACCCAACATGATGACTCCCAATCTATTTATAATTAGTCCACACTATTTCTCAGTTTCCAGGCTGAAAGTCGGCAGCACAAAGATTGCAAGCGAGGCTTAGGAATCATTTATGGTACATCAACTCAAAAATAACTCCTAACTGTGGTAGAGGTATAAATATGGTGAGATTTCAAAATAAATTTTCAGGTTTGGGTTTTTTGTTTGATTATATATCTTGACTACTTATAGGGAGTATTTTGTTAACATTTCCAAATGTTGTTCTTGCAACCTTAAGTCATCAATTCTTAAACTGAGATTAACATTGTCCACATGGCATCCTTAGATTTGCATATTTTTTAAAAAAAATCAAAATATGAGCAAAAAAATCGTGGAAATTGGCAGTCTCAGGGTTAATTTTCCTCTTTAGTCATATAACTTGGTCAGCAAAAGACACGTCTAAGAAATAGTGATCTTTGTGATTATGCTCCTTTGGGAAGCTTACCTACATGCCCTCAAATTTCTTCTCTAAATTATTTCTAACATTCTCAAACACTGGCAGATTCAAACACCTGATAAACAAAACAAAAACTGCTAGAAAAACATTCCTTCACTACCTCATCAAAATAAGTCCTCTCTATGCCCATGTTTTGGTCTGAATTAATGGTATGTTGCAATCTATCAGTAAGTCCTTACTGATAAGAACATAGGGCACACCACAAAAAGCTGCCTCTGATTGTGTTGGGTTGTTGGGTTTTTTTGCTGTTGTTGTTTGGTTGGGTTTTTTTTCCCCCAAAATAAAGGCGGGAACAGCATTTGCTTTTAGTTTGAAGTCTATGCTGGACTAGTGGAGAGTAATGTGAAACACTATATAGCTACAATGGAGGAGCTGGGTATTTTTCTCATCAACAGTCTATTATCAGTAAACACAGTCTGAATGGAACCAAAGCACTAAGCAAAACTTCTAACAGTGCTGGAAGCAGGTGTGGGGGGGGGTTGTTTTTAATAAATCACTTATGGGTTTATCCAAATCAGTTCTTGAAAGTTCTCATGAAAAACAAGGGAAGAAAATTTTCAGTGATCCAAAATAAGATTTCTTTTAATTAGAAAATTCTAGAATTCCCAGGTTTTTGAGATTTAGATAATTTTTTTTAATCAAAATGTGAAATCCTTTATTAAAATTGGGTTTGCTACCCAGCAAAACTATAAATGCTAAATATTAGAAAACAAAAAAGTGGTTTTCTTTGGAATGCATTTCATGAGAAATAATCTCAAGAGCAAGAATGGGTGTTGTAATAGGTTTTTTTTCCCAAGGCATAAGGTCTCGCTAAGACTTAACAAATACAACTGAAATTCATTTAAAAAAAAGGAATGGATCAGGTATGAACTGATAAAACTTCCCACTTCTTTGACCTTGTAAACTTCACATCAAAATGCATGACACAGCAGTATGTTTCCCTAGCAGCAGTATGTATGTACATCCTCTTTATTTCCTTTACTGGCTCAAACCTAGTTCTTCACATTAATTACTGTTCATTTACTGAATGGAAAGCATGCATTTTTAATTATGTTAGTGGAAATGTTGGCTGGTTGTGAAACAAAGTGCTTGGAGTTGGTCCATTTGACCCACGTGAATCAGCAGTACTGTTTTATAGTTTTTGCATTTTTTCACTTCAGCATTTCAGACTGTGATCCTTGTGAGAAGAAAACCTGATAAAGATAAAAGGCTCCATCTAGTGGGCAAGAATTTTCTATTTAAAGAAAAAAAATGCTCTCATTTTCACTTAATTTTATGCATGAAGAAATACAGCTTTAGATTTTGTTTCATTAAGCTGCCATGTTGTTAATTCTTGCCTTCTACAGAGCCATTATTTCATATGCAAAGCTGTGAAACATTACGTATTATTCTGACTCTTGAGCAAGAAGCAATAAATGATACTAAATGAGTGGGTTTATACAGCAGTTGATCCACAAGGTTCTTCCTCCCCACCCCCTTCAAGCTTCAATATATAGTAACCAAATATGGGTAATTTGTGTGTCAATAATTTTTATTTTAAACTATTTACGGTTCTTTCCTACTTAAAACTGACTGGCAGCATTCATAACTTGATTTGACTTAACACTATTTTGGGAGTATTTTTACACAGGGAACTCTACCCATGTGTTACCTCATCATTAAATGACTTTTTTACCTGTAAACAGTGAAATCTGGGCTCTCTGGCAATGCAGTTCCAGTGTATCAACTTCTGGCAAGACCCCAGTGGCCTCTGCTCTGTCTTCCAAAGGCAAACACCAGAACTCATTGATCCTGGCATTTGTCTAGAAGCCTCCCCAGTGCTGTTGTGTGTCCAAAAGCACCCTGATAGAATCTAGCACCTTTACTTTAGGTACACAGTTGATCAAATACAGTGGTACTTTTCTTTTGCTCTTTGCTGAATTTCTGCACTGCACTGCAGTTATGCTCCCAGCTCCTGAGAAATTCAAATGGCAAGACTTCCATTTGCAGTAGTACTGAAACTTGGGTGTTACTCTTGTTCCAACAGAGCTAGCAGCTGAAACCTTCTCTTCAGTTCATTTCATTTCAAGCTAATAACAAGCGTAGGAGTAGCAATAAGTAGCAGCAAGCACAGATTTGGCAGAAGAGATACTGAACCACATGTCCTGGCTTTTGTCAGACTGTCCCTTATTTTAAAGCCATACAGCCTGGCAAGATCCATTCCTCCTGTGCAGCTTCCAACAACAGGTAGACACTGTAACATGCATTGTAATCATGCACTACACCCAAGTGTACTACAGCCTGTGTTGATATTCAACATGGGAAAACGTGTCTCCTGCACAAATCACAAAATAGAGTTTACTAAGTTGCTCTGCACACCTTTCGATCACTGGGAGATCTCAATTAGCAGTGGGTCACTCAATAGCAAACCCAGAGGATTTTTCCTTCAGTATTAATGCACAATTTGGCAATTCTGTTAGGCCACACAGACTTGCTGATCTTCCTGAATAATTCTCCTCAGCTGCAGCTCTCCTTGTATCCTCCATGGAAATCTATCTCTGTGCTGCCAGTGAGTAAGAGCTGCCATTTGGCTTGTTTTACAGGCTAAAGCAAAGGAGACTAAGAGTTCTTACTCTGAACCCTTCTATAAGCAAGGACTAACCGAACTGACTAGTTGTGGAGTACCACTGTGGAAGTTGATATGTTCGCAAAATGCAAGCAATGCTATCTCAAAAAGGGAAGAAATTAAAGACAAAACCTGCACGTTTTGGTATTGTTAAGAGTAATGCCATGTGGTTTCTAACGTACACAGACACCTACCTCACTAGGCATGCAATAAAAGAAAACATGCAAGTCACTTGATTCAAAGTTCTTAAATAATACCCCTTTTAACTGTTAGCCTTTGCTCTAGAACTGTTCATGTTTTAAAAGACTATTGGTTTGTTGTTGAGCTAAAGCAAATCCCAAATTTGGAAGTAAAATAAGATCCTCTGCCTTATCTTACTTTAAATACCTTTTCTAGCACTGGTACTTGAGCTGATGCTAATGAAGTACAAATTTCCAGATGTGAAACTCTGGGGAATATCTGACATATTGCTTTTGTAATAATCTGCTATAAAATCAAAATGTTAATTTGGGGATTAAGTATTAATTTATTCCCACTACAGGTTATCAAAAAGCTTCACTGAAGCCTTCTAATTAACATTTAACGTAGGTATTTTAATTATGTTTATCTGGGTTAGATTTATTCAGCAATTTTTTCATTCTTTGAGGGAGCAGCTATCTTTTGAAACAAATGCACTGATGTGCATTTATTGTTGAAGAGTAACACTAAGTCTCTTATTTCTTTTTCACAGCTAACCAGGTGCTGAAGTTTGGAACACTCGTCAGTACTTCCAACACCTATGATGGCTCTGGGATTGTGACTATCGAGACAGACAAACCTTTGCTGTGGACAATGGCTATCAAAAGATAAGATCAGCTACAGCTGCCTTTTCTGATCCAACACAACTCCAATTACTGCAAAATTTCACTGAATTAAGACAGTAAAGCTGTTCCAAAAAATATAAGCAGGCACTGATTTTATGTATCGAATGGAAAACAAGTCTGAAATAAAAGTTACTTGAGATCCAATCGAAACTACTTGCAGTAATAGAGTACTTCATTCTGGTACCTCACACTACCTAACCATTAGACACATGAGCAGCCACCCAGTACAGTCACAAACAAAAATGAATGTAAAGAAACTGCTACTGCTTATCTGGTTAGTCCAGACTACTTTTGCAAAGTATTTTATTGCAATACTGAACTATTTTTCCCCTTTTGCCAAAAGAAAATACAGTACCCAGTTGCACATAGTTTATTACAAGGTGATAGCACTAGGATTAGTTAATCTCATTTTTCTGTCCTGGTTTGTAACATATGTAGCTGCTGGTGAAGATTTCTCAAGAAGAATAATAGTTGAACTTTTCTACTTAGGAAACAAGTTTGTGTACTGAAGGAGCTTCAGTTTTCCTGTAATATCAATATCAGATTTTTAAGTATTAAGTGCTTTTAAAATCTGTAATAGAAGTACCATTGTAGCTTCTGCAAATACTAAATGCTTACAGTAAGCTTTCTGGAGTGAAATAAACTTCTTAATCTCAATCTGAGGAGGAACAGCATTGCACCTACTAGAGTTTTTGCAGGCTTAGTTCTTAAAATCAAAATGTTCGCTCATTTAATAATGAAAACTTCCAGGTCAACATGCAGAGCCCTTTATAATTCTGTGTGCAGAAGAGTATCCAAAATGGTTGTATATCCTAACCAACACTGTGAGGAGTTGCAGATTTGCAGAAGGACTGCTTAGCATCTCTGACAACTAAATTATCCTCAAATGGTACATCTCAGTAACCAAGTTTGGGTTTTTTAATTATGCCATCAGAATAAGGACTGGCCATGCAAGTTCTTCATTTGATGGAAGATTTTTCCAGTCAAGTACATAATATAACCTAGCAGGACTTCCAAATGCAGAAAGGAATTAGTGATAATGATGGTGATTCTAGAAATTAGTGACAAGAATTTCAGTTGATAAGACTTTTAAATTACCACCTGAAAGGATACAGGAATGTTGTTTTCTTGCTGTCTACTTTTGCTGGAACAATGCTGTTCCTATGCTTAATTTACTGCTTAGTAAACAGCTCCTGAAGAGAGGTCATACAGTTGTCATCCTTGGAGGCTTCCAATATCTGACTGGACAAAGCTTAAGCAATCTTGTCAAGAGTGCAACACTGACCCAGCAAGGAGCAGGACATTGGACTAGAGACCTCCCAAGCTTCCTTCCTACCTGAATGATTCTACTACCAGTTAAAAGATGTAACAAAACAAACAAAAGGCACTACTACTAAAAAAGAAAAAAATCCTGTAGTATAGACAGGTATGATCACATACACTTTGAAAGAAAAATAAGGTGACAACAGTGTTTGAAAACCCAAACTGAGCTTGTTTAATATCAAACAAATTAAAGCTGTGAAATCTTTGCAGCAGGTGTCACAACTGTCTTCTTCTTCTTCTTCATGATGAATATTCAGCCACCTCTGTTGAGAGAACAAAGTAATCAGTTTCAACTAATCAAGTGATCCTACCTGAAGTCTAATTTATCCTCCCACCACTGCATTGCTAGGACAACCTTTACTACCATTGCAGCTTATCTCCTATTTTCACACACTTCTCCTTGCCTACAGGACCACTCTTACACGTATAAGCAAGCCACACATCATGGTCACAGAACAGTATTTAATCTCTTCCAGTGCTAGAAAGGGCATTACATCAGCTCTGAATAACAAGAGGAGTTTTAACTGGTAGTGTTAATGGGTCAGTACCATGGTGCCAGTCAACTTAAGGGTCAAGATTTTCCTGCTGCAACACTCATTCCAAAAGGGATTTTACAGAATGCAGCTACACAGAAACCAAACTTTCAAACACATCTAGCAGAGTAAATGAAACAAGACCAATTTTGTTCTGTGCTCTGTCATCCTGCAGGACACCCACTCAGTTTTCTCTACCTTACCATCCCTCTGTTTACTTTGGATACCCAAATTATAAACTGCAAATTGTGAGAGTATAAGATCCAAATAAAGTAAATGTTCTACGGTCAAACACACACTGAGGAACTGGAAATGAAAATATTTGAAGTTCAGTTTTGAAGCAGAATACTCAGAAAAAAAACAAAGATCTACAGATCTAATATTTTGCAGCATGCTAAATTAACAACCTACTTGCTGATTAAGTTCTTTGAATCAAGTAACTCCTTTTACATTACACTAACATGTGAAATGCAGACACTAAAGCAACATGGATCCTGTAGAGCTCACTGACATCCTCTGTTTAAAAATGAACAGGTAAAAATTTAGTGAAATTAAAGGTCATATTTACTTACACAATTATATTGTTGATTGGGATATGGATCAATTTGACAAAGAAACCAATAAATCCCATTATTGCAAAGCCTATTGCTGTTGCCATGGCAATCTTCTGGAACTCTGCAAAAACAAAACCAAAAAAATTTGTCTAGGAAGTCTCATGTATTGGCATATAGATGTGCACTGCAGTGACCACAGGAGAGGTATCTCTTTAGAGAATAATGTTAACACAGGAAATAGTTCTGGAAATAGTCACTGCAGTGACCCTGAGAAACAAATCCACTTTTTCAGAAGACAGATGATGATTTTAAGAGAGAAGGTGCTGCTTTCCACTAACAATGGCCAATCACAATTTTTTTGAGTAGCAAAATCAGAAATATCCACAATCCATGACAATTCATGGAACATTTTTTCCTTTATCTTTCCTTTACAACCCTACAAGCCCTGAAAATAATCCCCAATAAAGTATCAAAAATATAAAAGCTCCATTCATGTCTGTCACAGAAGGACAGCACCTTAAGTCCCCACAAAAATTGAGTACTTGTGATATTTTCAATTATTTTAAGACAGCAACCATGAAGTGGACTAAGAAGGTCAACAAACCTGCCAGTCTGACCATGAATGAAGTTCCCTACTGATCTCAGAAGATGCCAGTAATCTTAGAGTCATAGAATTGTTCATTCTTAGCACATAAATAAAGCATTGTAAATATTAACAGTAAGAATGACCAGTTGCATTCTGATTACAGTTACAGCTTCTCTCTAAGGCCTTTGAGAAAGTCCAAAACCTCTCTTCTATACTCCCAGCAACAAAATTCTTCCCATCCCAATCAGGCAGTGTCTGACAACTGTGGAGCACTGAATGGGCACTGCAAAAAGCAATTCTGGCTCCATTGAAGTCTCCTAAAATAAAGTCTTTTCCACTAGAATTTCCCCCAATTTCACTGCAATCAGTCACATGTGACTGCTTCATTTGTCATTTCAAAGTGCACACAAGTTCTTTTCAGATCAGTTTACTTTATACATGAAAAGCATTGCTTGCCTGTCTCAAAATGGCTAATTTCAGCTACTTAGCCTGTTTCATAACGTGAGTTTTACTTCCACTCACACACCTACGTATGTACGAGAAAAGAACATATCCAAGTTTATTATATCCAGAACCATAAATCCATTACCATTTAGACAACTGCTCAAGTTTAAATCTCATACTGGCAGATGAGAAAAATTCACAGCAAATTAATCAGCAGAAGTGACATATGGAAAGACACGTGGTAAGATATAAGTTTGTGTTCTGGTTTATTGTGTGCTTTACCTTTCCTGTCAGGCTTGGTGCATCTTTTAACAAGTCGTATGGAGTCTTTCACAAACTGACGGCTGGGTTCCACAAATTGCATTACCTGATCCATGATTACCTGCAAAGGTGAATGCATTTACCATTGATGGTTCCACATATATATATATATATATATATATACATATATTGCAAAACAGAATTTTTTAATTACAGAAATAGCAGTTACCTACAAAATTTGTAAAGACTTAAGATAACTTAAAATTTCATATTCCAACCTAAGTGGACTTTAAAAGATACTTCCACTTTGCAGAAAATGAAGAGACTGTATCAGTAAACAAACATGAGGGCCTACTTCTGACTGAAAAAAAAAAAATAGGAAAAATTATGCCTTTCGGCACAGAAAACAACAGCTCCATCAGATTTTCCTCTCAGCTTATGTCCTACGCCGCGTTTCAGAAAACACTGCTGAAGATGTCTGAACAGGCAGAAGTCACTGGTTTCAAGAAGCGCCCCCAGCCCAAAGCTGCACCGGGGGAACGCTGTGGCCGCGTCTCGTTCTCACAGCGCACAAGTGCCAGCACTGCCACCCCGCGCAGGACCCCCGCCTGGGGGGATCCGCTGGCATTAACTCGCACGGACCCCCTGATATCCCGATAAGAGGCCGGACCCTCCCGCCTCTCCCAGCGCCTCCCCTCCACCCCGCTGCGGCCGAGGCCGGCCCTGCCCGCCGCAGCTCCCCCGCCACCTCCGGCCTCGGCCCCCGCGCCCTCCTGGGGCTCAGTGGCCCTGCTGCCCGACCCCTCGTGCCTGCCTCCCCAAGCGGAGGGACCCCTGGGATCCGCCCCGGGATCCCCCCGGACACCCCTCTCCCTCACCGCCCGCGCCGCCGGACCAGGGACACGTCGCACAGAGCAGCGGAGGCGGGGCTGTGACGTCGCCGCGCGCGCGGCCACGCCCCTTCCGGGTGGCGGGGGCGGGTTTTGAGGGGAAAAAGGAGGATTTGGGGAGTGCGGAGTTGGTCACTTTTTCTTTTCTTTTCTTTTCTTTTCTTTTCTTTTCTTTTCTTTTCTTTTCTTTTCTTTTCTTTTCTTTTCTTTTCTTTTCTTTTCTTTTCTTTTCTTTTCTTTTCCGGTCTCCGGGACTCCTCTGAGGGTGTCTGACGATACATTTGCTTTCCGTGCTGTTGTAGCCTTCAGATCCAAGAATCTCGTAGCCGGAAATAAAGGGAAGAAAGTACCAATGTTGTTCTCCCAGGCAACAAGAGACAGGAGAGAGGACATAGTCTTAAGCTGCACCAGGGAACGTTTAGGTTGGGCATTAGGGGGGATTTCTTCATAGAAAGTGGTTAGGCATTGGAATGGGCTGCAAGTCACCATCCCTGGAGGTGTTTAAGGAAAGGCTGGACGTGGCAGTCAGAGCCATGGTCTAGTTGACACGGATAT